GAGCCCCTGGTGAAGCCCTGGCGGGGAAGGCGCGTAGAGAAGAGCCGAGCCCTTCGGAGGCTCCGTCCTCCATTGGGGGCAGAGCCCTTGGAGATGGGGCCCGAGGGCTGTGAGTGGGGGAGGGGGCAAGCGCTGCCTTGTAAAGCTGGTTGGGAGCTGAGGCGCGCCGACCCGTGTTATTGTAGGGCCTACCCAAACTGTTGGGTGCATGTGTCTCATTGGTGCAGCGGGAGGGCGAATTCCTGGCCTGGATTCGGTGGGGTTCTCCCTCACGCTGGGATTGCTGGGAGCTGGGCTTGGCCTGACTCCAACACGTCTCTAAAATTCTCTCCCCGGCCAGGCGCCCAGGGGCTGAGCTGAGGCGCGCCGACCCGTGTTATTGTAGGGCCTACCCAAACTGTTGGGTGCATGTGTCTCATTGGTGCAGCGGGAGGGCGAATTCCTGGCCTGGATTCGGTGGGGTTCTCCCTCACGCTGGGATTGCTGGGAGCTGGGCTTGGCCTGACTCCAACACGTCTCTAAAATTCTCTCCCCGGCCAGGCGCCCAGGGGCTGGGAGCCCCGAATGCAGGGGGGCGGGGGACAGGAGGGAGGGGACGCCGCGCCCTCCTGTCAATCCCAGACTGCCTCACGCCTGGGAGCCCCTCCCTGCCGACTGCTTCTTTGTGTCTTCCATGCCAGGGCTGGGTATGTGGGCCCATCACCCTGGCCTCTGGTCCCCGCAGTCAGCGGCAACCCCCCTGCATGCCAGTGGGGGCAGGGAATCAGGAGCAGGCTGGGAGCATAGAACCCAGGGGGTTGCCGTTCTATATATTACGGTACTCCTGTACAGAGCTTTGCAAATGGGTCAGGGCAGCCCCAGGGATGGGTGCTGGGAGGAGAAACCGAGGCCCAGAGAGGGGACGCGTCTGGCCCGAGTCACATGGCCAGTTAGGGCACCCTGCATGCCAGTGGGGGCAGGGAATCAGGAGCAGGCTGGGAGCATAGAACCCAGGGGGTTGCCGTTCTATATATTACGGTACTCCTGTACAGAGCTTTGCAAATGGGTCAGGGCAGCCCCAGGGATGGGTGCTGGGAGGAGAAACCGAGGCCCAGAGAGGGGACGCGTCTGGCCCGAGTCACATGGCCAGTTAGGGCAGTGACGAGGCTAGAACCCAGGCGTCCCAACCCGCACGGGCTGTGGCACGCGCCGTCTGCGGGCACG